GTCTGGGATCGCCCGATGGGTGAGTGGGCCGATGGCAGTGGTAAGACACACTCAATGTGTATAAGAGCATCATATAGAGAATACACTATTAATGCTAGTTATCTTAATTGTATCACCAGTATTGCAAGTGGAAGGGATACCCATTTTCTGTACCTGTATACAACACTTAATATGAAAATGTAAATAAAATATATACACTCAATGATATAATGTAGTGTGAAAAAACTGGACAAATGAGTTGGTGCAATGCCACCTAGAACACCAGGCCGGTTCAGGGATTGTATGATGTCACACACAGATACTACCACCGCTATTCATGTCGGTGTATGGAAACAGCACATTGTAATGAATAAACACAGTCTAATTATGTAGATATACAATTATTATTGAGGAATTCATTTCTATACATAATATATAAAAGCAATGACAGCGAAATTTAATACCTGAATAAAAACAATTGACAGTGATGAAAACTGCCTTACCATCAACAATCACACCATTTATTATCAAAAAACAATTTCAAGTACATACAGTATTCAGATTATCACCGATACAAACAAGATATAAAAAAATAATACTGTAACGCGTATGAAATTTGACAACCAATTCACACATACATTCAAAATGAACTCGCTTACAAGGATGCAGTAAAGGATGCTCCACTCGCCAAAAAGGTTGACTTACTGCTGCTAGGCGTATACCTGTTCTATGAAAAGAGTTATCTCAACAGGAGCATGTTGAAGAATGCTCATGACATATGTCAGGTACCATTTCTGGTTCCAACACGTGTGGGTGGTACAAGGTGGCTCCCGCATATGCTGCAGGCATTGGAGTATCTACTGAAAAGTTACAAGGTTATTGTACTCCACATGCAGCAGATACAGAACCCTGATGATCCCGCATACCACAAGGATTCATCCAGAAAAGCTAAGAACTACCTGTTCCTTCTAACCAGTGCTGACATAGTCTAGTACCTTCACCTACTGGATGTGGTGCAGTGCCTTGGGGGCCTCTCAGAGCTGTTCCAGCATGGTCAAACCAATATTTCTGCTATCATGAATGAAATTCAGACTGCAGTTGATGTACTTAACAAATATTTGACTTGACCAGGACCCAGCCTGAGAAGGATTATGGAAGGTGACACAACCATGTTCCAAGGAGAGAAGCTGAGTGGTAGAAGCAACACTTTCAAGACTGCAAGGCGTGGTATGCTGACATCACTGATTTCAAGTCTAAACAAAAGATTTATTGACATGGCCAGTACGATTCTCCAGAACGCATGGATTCTGAATTTCAAATTGTGGCCTGCAGACTACAACAGGAATGAAGATTTCGGGGATAGCACTGTGCAAGCGTTGGCCCAGGCTCTTGAGAAAACACTGATGGAGGCAGAGGTGAATCCTACTTTGGTAGAGGATGAATGGACTGTGCTCAGAAGTTACATTTACAAGAGTTAGACATCACTTGTTTCAAGACTGTTTTGGCAACAACTCAACCAATCATACGGAGTAAGGTGTGCCTTATTTCTCCATCTGGTTGACCTACTGCATTCCATTCCAGCTAGTTCGGCTGATGCTGAACGTGGTTTTAGCCAGGTCAAACTCGTTAAGACAGACTGGCGCAGTCGTCTCACTGATGACCACCTGACGAATCTCATGGTGGTTCAGTTGCAAACAGTGTGTGTTGGCAACTTCAATCCAGACAAAGCCATTGCCAGATTCCTAACAACTGGGGCCCGCCATGTGGGTGGCTACACTCACACTGCTGGCTGCAGCACAGTGGAAGATCTGGACGACAACAATGAGTTGAACGAGGAGCATGTACAGGAATTGCTTTTTCAAATGCAATGAAAAACCTGTGCTCCATGCAATTAATTTAGTTAATATGTTATTATTCCAGTGTTCACACTGTAAATCCATGCTTCATGTTAATAATTTAGTTAATATGTGATTATTCCAGTGTTGGTTTATGATTTAACATGGCTTCTACTCTTAAATAAATGTCACACAGTAAATAGAACTTTTTGTTTTTTGCTCATAAAATTGCATAGAAGTGACCGGGGAGCATATAATTTACATTGCTGGAATTCTTATAAGATAGTGATTCATTTGAATGTAAACATGCCATAGTTTGCACATGACAAAAATTTTAGTAATCATTTTGTACATTTTGATTACATGTACATTACAGCTTTGCCCTTAGGACAGTGTGTGCATGTAAATGAGTTTCAATAAATGAATAAATTTACATATAGCGAGCCAAAAATAATAGTTGAAAAATTTTATGTAGACAGAGCTTGGATGGCTAAATTTTAGAATGACCAATAATTTTAAAACTGTATAGAAAAATGCACAAATATTAAAGTGCACAATTTTCTTGATATTTACTCCATTGGAAACGAGTGTAAACATAGAAGAGATTACTGAATTGGCTGAATACCCCCTCAGCTTATCAGCTGATATTCAAAACAAAACGTGATTTTCTTAAGGATTTCGTTAATCAAATTTTTTTCGTTAACCGAATTGAAGATTCTTATGGAAGGTAATTCGTTAACCGAAATTTCGTTAACCGAAGCGTTCGTTAACCGAGGGACCACTGTATAGTATTTGATATGAAGAGACCTTCTTAAAAACGTTATTTATTACCTTTGAGTGTTATATGATGACTCAGTTTGGCTACTTGTACACTTAGACAAATGATTAATGAATAAACCAGGGTATACTGTATGCAGATGCATAATGCTCTACAGTACTCTACAATATTACTTATTAAAGTGATGATAAATACACTACAATAGTATTTATTAAGTGGTGATAAATTCATGACAATAGTATTTATTAAGTGGTGATAAATACACTACAATAGTATTTATTAAGTGGTGATAAATACTCAACAGTATTTATTAAGCAGTGATAAATACTCTGCAATAGTATTTAATTCAACAATCTGAATGCAACCGAAGTCATTCATTCACGTGTCTGCCACCAGTGGTGCTGTAACCACTTTGTTTACAAATGTATGAGGCATTTTGGTTGGTGGGAGATGTTGGCTCCAGTTTCATTCTATGATAAACAATAAAATTGAAAACAAAGCATATCATAAAATAAAATAGCATATATTTTTTGTGCAAAAAATTTCTCCTTCCACACACAAACCATCATCTGGGAGACACAACACAGTACAACAGGGCAGTCACCCAGGGCGGGTCTCTTGAAAGACATGAATTTGAGCTACAGTATCATTAAACATTAAAAATTTTACTTCAACAAAAGTGCATGGCCCACAAAACCAGTGTGGCCCACCAGCCAAAATAATTGCCCACCCCTAGTCTAGATGTATCATACTGGATAATGCCCGATAAAAAGGTTAATATTGACGACTGACCCACCGACGCGTTATTTCAGGGGTTCTCAACCAGGGGGGAATTTCCCCCCTCAGGTTTTCAGGGGAACTGATACTAATATGGAAAAAATAAAGGATTTTCAGTATTATATACATATTATTTGGAATGCACTTTTTGAGGCAGACAATCTTGGAAAGGAGGGGGGAATGACATTCTGACATATGGTGAAAGGGGTGCATGGGGCAAACAAGGTTGAGAACCACTGCGTTATTTGTTTTGATGTTTATTTTCGTACTATATTTTCCTCAGTGATTACTGATATGATAATCATTTATTGTGCACTATGTCTTCTCAGCGGTGACATCTCATCCCCATATGTAAACATCCAATCATATTGACATATTTCAAAACATGCCACCACACTCCTTGCCGAGCTTTCCTGTGTGTCATTGCCACGCTTTGCTGCAAGCCATTGCAGCCAATTTTGTTTTCACCATGGCATGTGAAGGGTGTCGTCCATCTTAAAAAGAAGTAATTTGCAGATTCAGGGGGAAAGATGATGTTGGCCTCCAATTTCTCAAAGACCATGGTATTCTTCCTTCCAAAAGAGACTGTCCACACCTCAGAAATCCCTGTGTTTTAAGACATTAGAGGAATTTGTTCCAGTGCAACAAGAAATTAATAAACAAGAAAAACAAGCAGCTGGAGTATTGTGGCTACAGTTCTAGTGTTTTCAAAGGAACTTGGCTTGAAAAGGTCCAGATTAAACTCAGTATTGTACTATTATTTATAAACTTTTTTTCAGAAAGTACTTTTCACAGCAATACACTGAAATAGAACTGGGTTTGTGTGCCAAGTCCATTGTGGACTGGAAACAGTTTTGCAGTGAGATCTGTATGCACAGGATGGAAATCCAGGAACCTATTGGTGGGCCAAATAAAGTGGTAGAGATTGACGAAAGTAAATTTAGCAAAATGAAATTCCTATGTGGCCGCCTAGTGAAGGGTGTCTGGGTGTTTGGCGGCAGTGAGCGTGGATCGGGCCACATGTTCCATTGTGCCGGTTGAAAAAAAGAGATGCCGATACCCTAGATCCTCTGTGCCAGAAATTCATTCAGCCAGGCACCACTATCTACAGTATAGTGATTGCTGGAAAATCTACTCCAACTTGGGGTCCTTGGGTTTAACCACAAAACCTTTAACCACAGCCAAAACTTTGTTGATCCTGTTACTGGCATGTACACGAATACTGCAGAATGGCTGTGGAAGAATATAAAGTCCTGGGTTCTGAGGGCTGGCAGCAGGGATTACCACGAAAACCACTACTGTACTTCGCTCGCTACCTGTTCTGCCACAGTCACCAAGACCATGGCACAATCCTTCACCACTTCCTCAACGCCGTGGCTCGCTGCTTCCCCGTCTCAGTAACAGTAAATTCGCCCACGGAAGGTGTTAGGTTCTGCTAGGTTTTATGTTAAGGTTAGGTTAGGTTAAAAAAAAACACATTTGCAAAAACTACAACAGTGTACACTATAAAGCACAGTGAAATTGCGGAGCTTTTATAATCAATTTCTATGCAAAATCGCCGGCATCAATAACTACCACAAAACATTCAACAATACAAAAAAGATGCATAACAAGAGATATAGAGATCTTACAGGTACAGCTGCCATCATGGTTGGCTGGAGAACAGAGCAGTCACCCTGGCAGCCACGTTTGATTTTACTTGACCTGTCAGTCATCGTGAGAGGAGTGGAGTAGCCCATTGGTACACCAAACATCAGCATCATTGATTCTGTAAGATTATGTATTACTGAGTCAGTTTCTGTAAGATTATACACTGCTGAGTTAATCCAACTTCATATCTATCTTTCAATACCTTGAGGCTTGAATGAGATTTGCTGTGGTGTCGTCTGCGGATGGATTTTTCCAATTCCTGAAAAAGTGTGAGGTGGGAAGGCCATAAAAGGCAGTCGAGTGAGATGATATGAGAGGGATAGTACGAGAAACAGCATAATGATACTACATTGAGGATATTAGCTGCATTCTTGTTTAAATGTGTTGAGGTTGACAATACAAAACATCAGCAGAAAAAAAGATCAATTAGACAAAAAATTTCCTTGGGATATTGAGAATTTTCTATGATAGAAATACTTACCTACACTTCCATGGCTATTTAACCAATTATACAGATATTAGGAAATTACATCATATTTTCATGGTTAGAGAACATTTTTATATAAAAAAATTATTGTAGTTATAAAGATCCATTTCCAGCATGGTGGCCAAGGCATTGTGCAATTTTTTTACAACAGGAAAATGAACCAAGAAAACCTAACCTAACCTAATCGACCTACTGTAAGCTATCATACAATATATTCCAAGGTTTTAGGTTATATCTGGTTGGGTAATTTTGTCTATTATGAAATAAAGCGTGCAATTTTCACCAAACATGAAAGTCAGAAACTACAAAGCATAAGACAGTTAAAAGAGAAAACTCATAGATAACTTTTTCTTTGACACTTGTAAAAAAAAAACATAATGTACTTGTAATGTATAAAAATAAAATACAGTACAGTGGGGTATGCTATAACGAATGTTATTGGTTCCAGAACCTCGTTCGTTATAGGATTACCATATATCTCGGCTTATAAGACGGAATTTGAACATTAAAAAAATCTGCCCAAAGTTAGGGGGTCGTCTAAATCACCAAGTATAAAATTCTTACCTCTTAAATATTGTGGTTTAGTGTGTCAAGAGTGGTGATGGAAACATCGTAAGCTACTCACAAGGTCTTACCACTAATTATTTTATACTGAAACTTACGTTTGGCAAGCTGGATTCAAATTAAGATTACCGGTATATTAAAATAATAAAAATGTATTATAAACCTGTCTAACATACCGTAAAAGAGATTTATACCCCTGTAATAAACACAGCTATCATCACACACCCCTCCCCACGCCCCCCCCCCATTTGCCAGTGAGGAGACAAGAAAGGAAAAGTGACCGCGAGATTGGGCTATTTTTAGCCGTGGAGGTGGTCAGTAATGCATATCGGTATATTTACTGATAATAATACTTATCTCCTATAAATAATTAATTTAAAATTTATTTTTTTACAAGGAATATTCAGTAAATGACTGCATTAATTCTTGAAACTACTGACAGTTAAATACAGACGCTTAAGTGACGTCACTAGTGTTTACACTACACCAGCTGGTAACATTTGATGCCATTACTTGAAGTGAATTGGCCTTATTTTAAGTAACTAACCATAAATAAATACAAAAAGTAAAAAAAAGATCAAAAGTGAGAAATAATATACTGTATGTATGTTGTGTTGTCAAAGTTAGAGGAACAATTCAAACTGCAATTGTGTGTAAATGAGGCAGAAAGTCAGGTCAGCGCTGAACCTGGGACTTGGTCACAATTTTCGTGATGCCATATGGCAGCAGGGTCTACCATTAGACAACACATTATGTTTCCAATATCTTCCCAGGCGGTAGTATCTACCTGTTTGGTAGCTGCCTACTACCTACACAATTTTTAGTAATATTACTTTGATACATGATAAATTAGACAAACAATGAAAATAAACATCAAATTTAATTACCAAGACGCTTCCCATTGGCAGCTGTAAGAAGAGGGGGAGATGGGCTATTTTTATCCCGTCTTTGTGTCTGAAGTGGCCAGTAATACCATATATTTACTGATCATAATACTTAATCTCCTATAAATAATTAATTTAAAATTTATTTTTTACATAGAATATTCAGTAAATGACTTTTAAATAAATAAACAAATAATTCGGTAAATCTATTTCAAGTAAATGGAAAATAAGCAAACAAATGTTATTTACCACCACCCCTTCCCTCTGGCTCAGGGTGAGATGGAGGGGAGATAAAGAAGGCTATTTATAGCCCGTCTTTGTGTCTGAAGTGACCAGTACTCTAATGCACCATAAATAATTCATTTAACATTTATTTTTTGTACATATATTTTGTTGTATATATATATATATATATATATATATATATATATATATATATATATATATATATATATATATATATATATATATATATATATATATATATATATATATATATATATATATATATATATATATATATATATATATATATATATATATGTA